ACCGCCAACCCCCACCACTGCCTCGGGCCGCTTTCCCACCTTTGTCGGCCCGTCGTCGTTCCTCGACAGCTCTTAAACAATTTCTCGCTCGGCCCACGGCTCGCCCTCTCCTCAGCTCCGTTCTCAGGGGCCGCGTTCCCCTCTCCGCCCCCGCCCCGCTCCCAACAATGGCGCGGCGTCGCGAGCACAACATGGCGGCCCTCGGCCGTTCCGCAGCGCCCCGCCTTACCGACTTCTGTCCGTGCCGTCCGTCTGTAGCCACAGACGCGCGCGCAGGCCCTTCCGAACCGACCCCGCCGCTCACCGCCGTCACTTCCCCGAGCCCCCGCGCAGCAAAACTCAACCACACCGCCGCTTCTCCGTCTCCCACACAAAATGGCGGTCGCTCCCGTTGCTTTTTAAAACCTCTTCCCTCTCCATGCCTCCCAGGTCACCGTGCTCCAACCAATAGTAGCGCGTTGCGTGCTCCCTACAGCCAATGAGAGACAAGTCCCGCCCACCGCCATGACGGGGCGGGGTCCGGTTCGAATCCCCGCAGCGCGGGAGCGGCGCTTGGCGTCTGCCCGGAAGCGGCTGCGCTCCGCGTTCGCACAATAGCCGGCCGGGGGCCGCTCCCTTTTCTCCTATCGTTCTATTTCCTGGCACCTACTGTTATGTCTGAGGCCTTGCGGTGGTTCTCTGAAAACTACAATGCCTGCTGTAACCGAGCATTTCAGCCTCGGAAGTGCCCCAGCCACCTCAGACACGGCCTGTGCTGCACCGCTCAGCTCTGGTTGCGATTGGTGCGTTCAGGTCAGCAGAACCATCAACTCACGGGGCCCAGCCCCGCGGCACCACCCGCACTGAGCTTTCAGCAGTGGAAGAAAGGAACAGAAGCTGTGGGCACACGGAGCTCCAGGTGCTGCTGCATCCTTAAGACCCAACACAGACCTCGGTCCTCACCAGGGATCTGCCTTACTCAGCTCTTCTACCACACTTCTACAGCTGTGACAACTGAATGAGGCTCTTCCAGCCATAACGCCCTGGTCCATACCACCTGTCCCTCAGACAGGACACTGCAGGAGACAACATTTTTCATAAATGTTCCATTAAATCCTCAGAGCTTCATTAGCCCCAAACTGAGATGCTCCCAGCTATTCACCATCTCGCAACTCCTGTTGGAACATACAGCAGTAAGTCACAAGAGCTCATGAAAGCCCTCAGCCCATTTAAACCAACTGACTTTTCATCCTATCAGCAGGAAAAGCATTTCCACCCTTGCAGTGCACACAGAGGAGTTCTCAGAGCAGCTCCCTTTGATGCAGGCACTGCCTGTGGGGATGGAGGGTGAGCCCAGCATGCTCTGCTTCTGAGCCACAGTATGCAGAAAAAAATAATGCTGTGTTGTTTTTTTCTTTTTTTTTTCCTTGGCGTTTCTTCAGAAGCACTGTCTTGTTGGTGCCTGGGTGTGCTGCTACGTTTAGTACTGCTAAATGAGATTGATGCACTGAACTCAGCCACCCCAGGTGATAGAAGCAGACCTTTAAGCACAGCAGAGCAGGGGGTGCTCCAGCAGTGGTGCTGTGGTTGGTTCTATGCTTGTTCAGTGCCAGCTGACAAAACAAAGAAACAGGAAGAGGGGAAAAAAGAAAAAAAAGAAGAAAAAAAAAAAAAGCAGAAGGTGACTTTTGTGGGAACATAGAATTGACCACTGATCTCAGCAGTTGGCATGGAGTGGGGAGTTTCCAAGCCAGGGCTGCTCGCAGCTGTGCTAGCTGCAGATAAGGGAACAAACTCAAGCTGGAGGTGAACACAAAGTCCTCAGGCTATAGCAGTCATTCTGCCAAGGCGCATCAAAGTGCAGGTCGGACCGTGCTTCTGGATGTGCTGCAGAGAAAACGTTTCTTTCCTCCGAACCCTGACAGAAGAGCAGAGCAGGCAGGGCGGGGGCGGCCGAGCGCCGCGCACCGCAGCCACCCGCAATGGGGCAAAATCCTTCGGTTTGGGAGCAGACTCTCATGTTCCCACCATTGCGATGCCCGTGGGCTTCCAGGGGCAGCTTTGCTCCGTGTCACCGCCTCCCGTCCCGGCTCTGCAGCACAGATCCTGCTGCACGGGCAGCCCCAAGCAGTGGGAGCTCCGCCCTTGTTCTCTAGGCCATGGTCTGTCCTGTCTGCAGGCCTTATTGTGTCACTTAGGCTGCCATTTCCCTGCCATTTACAGTGAAAATACAACCTTACTCTTCTGGCATCAGCAGAGCATGTTGGTGCACAGAGAACTGGCCCCAGTGGCACAGAGAGGAGGATTCGTGCTGTGAACGGGGCCCAAAGGCTCACACAGCAGTTCCCCGTGTGTGACAGCTGAATATAAATTATCTGCCTTCTGACTCTTTTCCTTCCCTTCCTCTTCCATTCCCTCATAGAAATCAGGAGAAGATACTGGAGGTCTCTTGCCTCAAAACTGCGTGAGCATAGCAGAACCGGGGGGGATTGGGCACATGTGAGCATGGCTGAACAAGGTGGCATTCATGGCCAGCAGAACACAGACACAGAGGGGAAGTGGGGAAGGAAAGAACCACACGCTCACTAAAAGAATGCGAAAGATAGCAAGAAAGGATGCGTACTGATGGGTTTGCAGCACAGGAGAATAACACGTCATTATGCGTGGAGCCCTGATGAGAGCAGAAGAGCTGTGAAAGAAGGGGGAAGCAGTTGCAGCTGCAGGAGCTGCCCTGGGCTGGAGCTGGGAAGGCCCAGCCACAGGAAGAGGTGAGAAGCAAGCCCCAGCCCCAGGGACGTCCCATAGCGCACCATCCTTTCTCAGGGTGAAGCATCATTCGCTTACTTCGAGCCACAATGCTGATGTGGGGGAGAAGTCTGGTAATATTCAGGACTAACTGCACTGTGTAACAATTTTTGTTTTGTTTCCTTTTTTGTTGTTGTTGTTTCTTTTCCTTTTTTTTTTTTTTTTTTTTTTTTTTTGATGAGTGCTTTCTTAACAAGAGCAAAAAGGAGGTAAGTGTTTCAGTGAAGACTGACTCTTTACAGCTGGTTTTAAAAATTATTTACGTTAAATATACTGGGGAGACTTCCAAATGCTTTTTAAACGTGAGTGGTGCTGAGCTCTGAGGGCAAGCACTCTGCTGATTGATGCTGCGTTTGGCTACCTGTGGGAATTCAGTGGAGCACTGCTCTGCCATGTCGTGTGCTTCATGCTGGCACAGTGTTGCAGCTCTGCAGCAATGCACTAGTGTGCTTTGGACACTGTTATTGCAGTCACACGTGGGCAGATAGTGACTGAAAACAAATAAAGCAAATAATCCTCAACGCGGCACTTGTGCCATAGAGTTTTTAACGTCAGGAAAATAACTGCTGGGCATTTCTTAATGTAGCCAGAGGGACTAGCCAGAGGGAACAGCTACTTCCAAAACAGTGCCAAACTGTGCAAAGAAGTAGAGCTAGGGCTGAGCAAGGCCCTGTGCCTTCCCTTGCAGTCACCAGAGTTGGAAGGAGGACTGGGGGGAGTTCAGTCCAAACTGCAGAAAGCTATCCTTGTCTGATATCCAGCCTGAGACACAGCAAATATGGGAAGAGGAGGTCTGGGCTGCCTGGCTGATGTCTACAAGCCCAGCACAGTGGCTGCATTTTGAACCTAAGGGCTTCTCTTAATTGTATCAGGTTAATGGAGGAAACTGTCCTAGAACAGTCAGTATGGTGGTTATTTTGCCACTATAACCAGTTTCTCCTGATGCAACACTGCACAGGGGACAGCGCTTTGCTTACCTACAGGCACTTGCTTTTTGTTCAAGTGGTTTCCCGTCTCCTCAGCGTAGAGTCATAGAATCATTAAGGTTGGAAAAGGCCTCCAAGATCAAGTCCAACCATCCACCTGTCATTTCCCCACTAGACTGTGTCCCGTAGTACAATATCTAAACATTTCTTGAACACAGCATTGTAGTGTTCTTTGGACACTACATAAATGCAGGTATGGAGAATTTAAGAAAGGGAAAGCCGTTTGCAATTAATAGATATCAAAGTAGAGTTTGCTTAATTGATGTCTTGGTTTGGATGGCAAGGTTTTGCTGAGGGAGTTTTGGGTCCCCAAGGGCCCTGGTGAGTCCCTAGATGTGTCAAAACCCACCTGGCTGCACAGTGCACTCCTCTGGGGAGACAAGGGCTGTCAGATTTGATAATGGCATCGAGCAACTACTGCTGCATTTGTAATGTTCTGTGAAGAGCTGCAGGAAACATGAGATGCTGAAGTTGGAGTGCAATAACTGTGGTCCTGTGTGGTTGCCCCATGCCAGAAAACCTGACGTAAGAGGAGAGCAGCTTGCTGCAATGCTAAGCCATATTTCATCCCAAGGTCCAGAACTACTCCAGTCCAATACGCCAAGAAATGCAAATCAGGATCAAAATGCTCTGGGTGTAACAAGCAACTGAATACCCTGCAGCTGCCAATGTTTGTTCCCCAATGGGCAGGTGGGAGGAAAGTGTGGGGTCAGGGTCTTCTCAGTGGGTTCTGCACAATATCACAGGCTGATGGGTGTTTGCAGCTGCTGCAAAGCACAGGAACAACAGCAGCAGTCAGAGGAGTGGGTACTCAGTGGGGAAGGAAGTAATGGAGACGAGTACAAACATCTCTTGCTGCTTAAATGTGGTGGATGTGGTTTTCTAGAGTGTTGGTCACTGCTATCTGTTGTAGCCTCCAAAGACATCTGCTGTCCTTGATGAATGAGAACAAGCTCTTCAGTGTGGTAAAAATGAAGGGATCTGAATGCATTAAACTGCAGAAGTGTAGAGAAAAATGGGACTTGACTGCCACAGCATGCACTGAGTTGCTCTGCACCCCCAGCAGGCATTTCCCCATCACACTACATTTCCTTGAGAGTAGGTTGCAACAGGATCATCTCCTTTTGTGTAAAAGGAGGGATACCACCAAGGGAACTGAATTTACTAATTGTAGTGTTCCTATCCCTCACCTTCCCCTCAATCTTTTTCAGAGCATTTGGAGTACAGGAAGCCAAAACTCTCCCTGCACGTTCCTGGCTCCAGTTAAGTATAATGGATAACTGTGAGATGTATGAAAATACCTCCAAATGCATTGCGAGCTCCAAGAGCATGGAATGCTTCATGGTGCTCAGCACACAAGCACAGAAGATCAGCATTGCCACACTTTGTGGCCTCTTTGGAATACTGTGCATTTTTGAGAACTGTCTAGTGCTTTACCTGATCTTCTCCTCCTCTGGCACAAGGAGAAAGCCTTCTTACATCTTCATCAGCAGCCTGGCCTTGGCGGACCTCTTGGCCAGCATCATCTTTGTAGGAAGTTTTGTTAACTTCCATGTCTTTAATGAAACTGATTCTTCTAAAGAATTGTTCCTGCTGAAGCTGGGAGGGGTGAACACATCTTTCACAGCCTCCCTGAGCAGCTTGCTGCTAACAGCCCTGGACCGCTACATCTCCATCAGCCGCCCCTCCAAATACAAGCTGCTTGTGACGAGAAAGAGAGCGTGGACAGCTCTAGGAGTGCTCTGGCTGGGATGTGTGGCCAATGCCTTCCTGCCTCTGATGGGCTGGAACTGCTGCACACTCAACTCAGCCTGTTCCGAGCTGTTCCCTTTTGTGGACAATAATTATCTGTTCACTTGGATCTGTCTTGTCTTGATTTTGCTGGGGTGTATTGTCTGCGCTTACTCACATGTGCTGTGGAGGGCTCACCAGCATGTGGCATACATGGAGAAACACCAGGTGCATGTGGGAAAGCAGAACGCCAGGATGAGGATGGACATCATGCTGGCCAAGACCCTTGTCATGGTGCTGACCGTCCTTGTGCTGTGCTGGTTGCCGGCCCTAATTCTCATGATTTACAGCATCTTTGTAAGTCTGAACAATCACCTGCGCAAGGTGTTTGCCTTCTGCTGCACCCTCTGCCTACTCAATTCTATGGTGAACCCAATTATTTATGCCCTGCGGAGCAAGGAGCTGTATTCCTCCCTGAGGATGCACCTTTCCCGATGCAGGAGGCAGCTGAGGACCTCAAATGACAGCCCGGAAGCAGAGAGCGCTCACAGGTCCTCCATGATAGAGACCGTCTGTGAGGACATACATGCCATGTAGGGATGCAGTGCCAGGAAGTCTGAGCTCAGCTGGAGTGTGGATCATTTCTCTTTCGGATTGTTTTTATTTTCTGTCCTTGTAGAAGTCCTGGGAGATGACAGATCGGGTTGTGGAGTCAGCTCCTACTGATGCTTTCTTAGACACCGGGACACAAAATGCCCAGACCTGTACAGACTGCCATTCCCAGGGCTGCCAAGACCCGGTGCCATGCCATGGTGTGCTGCACACAAAGCAGAGGGTGATGCCATTCCTCGGAACAGCAAATCCTGTCTGCCTGCCAGTAGCTACCTGACACTTTTCCTTGTGCTCAGTTATGTCTGCCTCAGCATTTCACAAAATGTTGTCCCAGCCCTTTGCTTGGCACGGGCAGAGTTACACAAGCACTGCCAGCAAAGCTCTAGCAGCACATCACTGCATAGTAACAGTACACCTATTTATTCCTGCCTTGTAGACTTACAAAAACTTAAATCTCAGCCACACATTGTTGGATGTTATACAATTAAACATTAAAGAAATGTTTCAGCCTTTTCTTCCACTGGCCTCTAAGGCAACAGATTCTTTTGCAAATCACACAGAAGCAGCAGCTTTGGCTGTAAAACCTGCAGGGCCCTTCACCAGTGCCCTGAGGACCACAGGGCTGCCTCAGGGACAGGCCTGCCTGTGCTGTCTGGGCACGGAAGCGAGGCCCTTGGATTCTGCCCTGGCTCAATTGGAACACGCAGGCGATGCGACCCGGGAGTGAGGGACCTCAGGGAAGCTGAAGTGCCGACCCTTCAGCCTTCCCTATCTCCTCACAGAGTGCAGGCAGCAGCCACGGACGCGCCGCGGGGCAGAGGCGGGTGAGGAGGCGGAGGGCAGCCTCCGGCCTCGCCGCCGGGCGGCCCGCAGCCTCGAACTGCGGGCTCTGGGTTGCGACGGCGGGAGCCTTTGCCTCGGTAGCCATGGCGGCGGCCGCGTGACGTCAGGCGGCAGCATGGCGGCGGGTGGGCTGCTGTGGCTGGCGGCCGCGCTGGGGCCGGGGCTCGCCGCGCCGCGCTACAGCCCGGACTGGGCCAGCCTGGACGCACGGCCGCTGCCCGCCTGGTTCGACCAGGTGAAGGTGGGGGTGTTCGTGCACTGGGGCGTGTTCTCCGTCCCGGCCTGGGGCTCCGAGTGGTTCTGGTGGCACTGGCGGGGGGAGCGCCGCGCCGACTACGAGCGCTTCGTGCAGCAGCGCTTCCCGCCCGCCACCTCGTACGCGGACTTCGCGCCCCATTTCACCGCCCACGACTTCCAGCCCCGTGAGTGGGCTCGGCTCTTCCGGCGGGCCGGTGCCAGGTCAGTGCGCAACACCGGCCGGGTGGCACCGGTGGCTGCGGTCCGTGAGGGGATGGGGCCGCGTTGGGGGGTCCGTGAGGGGATGAGACCATTTCTGGGGATCCGGAAGGGACTTGGGTCCCTGACAGCCGTGCCTGAAGTGCCGCAGAGACGGCTGCTCTTACTGCTCCGCGAGACTCCGCTGGTCATCTTTTCCAGAATTAAAATCCATTTTAAAACTTTGCTATTCATGTCATCTCTTTTTAATTTTAAGGATAATGAAAAGGGCTTCTAACGAGGACCCCTCACGGTGTGGTTTCTCAGTTCCTTGCTTTCGTAGTTTTGGATTTGGCAGTGAGGACTGGGGATAACTCAGCTCCTTTGTCACCCTGATCCAGAGCCTTTCCCTCAGGTACGTGGTGCTGACCGCAAAGCACCACGAAGGCTTCACCAACTGGGGGTCTCCTGTGTCCTGGAACTGGAATTCTTTGGACACAGGGCCCCACCGCGACCTCGTGGGAGAGCTGGGACAGGCGCTCAGAGAGAAGTATGGCTACACTTTGCTGCTTTGTCATCTTCATGCACTGAATTCTCTTGGCTGTTCTTGGCAAACAGCAGAAAATGATGAGTTTGATATGAAAACAGTGCTTGCAAAGTCACGAAACTGTGAAATAATAATGCCAGTAATCTACTCTACACTGATTCTCAATCCCTGCTGCTGGCCTAACTCCTTCCTTTGTGTTTTCTATCCTTCAGCAACTTACGCTACGGACTATATCATTCTCTGTTAGAGTGGTTCAACCCTCTCTATCTGTCTGACAAAGAAAGCGGCTTCAAGACCCAGAACTTTGTTTTAAAGAAGACAATGCCAGAACTCTATGATCTTGTCTTAAAGTAAGAGCTGCAACTAGTCAGGATGCAAGAGCAGTTCTTGGCTTTCGCACTATCTAGAAAGATGCTAAGTAGATGCAGAGAACAGAGATGACAAATGCTAATTTTTGCCAAAGGAAATCTGTTTACTTAGCAGTAATGATTTGAGCTAATTAAAAAAGGGGTTCACGTTTGCCTTGTCAGTAATCTAACTTGTACAGTAAGATAGATCTTGCGTACAAGAGAAATGCCCTTTAATGCTGCCTTTTCTGAGAGCACTTCTGAAAAAGCAGCAAGCTGTTTAGTAAAGTAGAAGAGCAATTTTGCTGTGAATTTGCATCCCTCCTTTGATTTCCCAGTTGACCAAACTACCAGGCTTGGACACATGCTGCTCACAGTAGCCATTGTAGCAGGTAAAGGATGTACCTCATAACTGCCTCTAAGATGTAGTCTTTTGTGTTTGGAAGAACTGCATCCTGTGCTTTGAGCCATGATAATCACTCTGCTGGTACAAGAAAGTCACTTGCAGCTTTTTCTGGAGCAGGAAGTGGTACCACGAACCTCCTGGTAATGTCAAGTGATGGGAAATGAAAGTGACTCCAGAGACAAGAAACTCTGAAGTGCTTCTTTTGGGGTAGGAGCAGATAAGCCATTCTGAAATAATGTTAATCTCTCTGTTAGGTATAAACCAGATTTGATTTGGTCAGATGGAGACTGGGAAGCTCCAGACTCATACTGGAATTCTACCTCCTTCCTTGCCTGGCTGTATAACGACAGTCCTGTCAAGGTAAAACCTTCAGCTGTCCCTCATGGCCTGCAGCACTGTATAGGTGTGGAACATCTGGCAGCATGGAGATATGAATGCGATCAAATGAGTAACCTTCTTGGCAGGTGCCAAACTTGTTTTATTCTTTCACCAGAATTAAAAAGTCCACACTGTGCTTTTAAGAGAAGCCTCTGGGATTCAAATCCCAGGGGATAAGTACTTGGCCCGCTAACGTAGATGCCTCAGGTAACTCAGGACAGATGGATGCAAGCTGAAAAAGTCCCAGACAAAACCTTCTCTTTTCTGAGCTACGTTTCTTCTTCCAGGATACTGTTGTTGTGAACGACCGTTGGTGTAATAATTGCTCCTGCCATCACGGAGGCTTCTACAACTGTGCTGACAAATACAAGCCAGGGACCCTGCCTGCTCACAAGTGGGAGATGTGCTCCTCCATTGACAAGCTCTCCTGGGGTTATCGAAGCAACATGCACATTGATGAGTTAATGGATGTAGCCAGTATCATCAAGGTAAGAAATCAGAATTCAAATGAACAGGTGTGGGAGTTAACCAAGTATTAAAGATTTCTTTCATTCTGCTACATGGAAAAAGATCTGGCATGTGCTTCGTACAGGCAAGTGGAGCTAAAGGAGCATTTCATGAGGACAGAGCACTCCTTGAGTTTCTTTGTTGTCAGAAGTGAAGAAAATGCAATTGTGACCTTAATTTGTCTGCCACAGGAGCTAGTGCAAACTGTGAGCTTTGGAGGCAACTACCTTCTCAACGTGGGACCTACAAAAGAGGGAGTGATTGTTCCCATCTTCCAAGAAAGGCTTCTGGCCCTCGGGAGATGGCTGGGCACAAACGGGGAGGCAATTTATGAGTCAAAGCCATGGAGAGTACAGATGGAGAACAGCACAGACACCATCTGGTAAGGACTCCATTGCTCAGCTGGGCTGGGACTTCCAAAGCTGATGCTGCTTCTTAAATTTGGCATTTTCTGAAGGGTTGCCATTGGGCACAGGTGGCCTTTAGGTGATATCCTAGAGCTGGAGTGCTCACTTACTGCCACATGTAATCTAAGGAGCATCATGTGGAAAGAACGGAATAAAATTCAGATCTGCAGCCATCTTACGTGATTTAAAAAACAGTCGTTCTTTGAAAAAAAAATCCATACCATTGCTGTCAGGACTGTTTTAAGTAGTGGTGATGGCTAGTTTCTTTCAATGCATATAATCTGAAAATGCAGTAATATTTGCTTTTAGGACGTTAGATAACAGTCCTGCTCACTGTTACCCAACCATTGTACTTTCTGAGAAAAGCACAGTGAGTGAATCAATAGCCAGAAATGCTACAGAACTGAGAACAGAACACAGAACAGTTCTGAGTGTGCCCAAATGTGTTCACTCTAGAAATGCAGAGCAATGACAAGATCAGCACATGGCAGCTCATCTGATGCATTGACCACAGTCTGAGGCAAGGACTGATGACATTTGCTTTTAGGCAGCATGTGTGGACTTTGTTTCTTTGTTTGGGTTTTATCAGCCAGCACTTTCTGATGGGTCCAAAGTGAGAGATTTTGGAATAAGGGGAAAGTAGGTGACCCCTGTGGAGTGACGGTGGGCAAGCCAGTGTTCTCATGCTGCCAGGTTGGGCCATGGTTGATTCTCTCTTGTGGGCTCTTTACCTCAGTGAACCTTCCTGCCTTAGGTACACTTCCAAAGGAGCAGTTGTCTACGCCATCTTTCTGACCTGGCCTCAGAACAGTGTGTTGCAGCTGTCTGTGCCCATTCCATCCCCAGCCACACAAGTAAGGAACTTGAAGGAAAAAGACCTAATGCACTTTTGGAGCCCACCTTGGGCACACATGGGCTGAGAAGGCCCAGCTTGACTTCTACAGGAGATAACATGAAGTTGTTATCCCTTCCTGATTGGTATGGGGTGCTTTTACCCACACCCTTGCAGATCCTCTGTTATTCTTCAGGTTTGATGTCACTGTTTAACATGGAACAACAGACAGGGTGAGTTCATCTCCCATAGAATAGGTAGGAACATTTCTCCCTGCAACTGTTTGATCCTATTGACGCATGGAGGTAAAGTAAATAACAAGCCTCACACACAGAAGGGATCACTGGTATTACATCTCCAATTCAGATGAGGTACACTGACTTGCTAATTGTAAATGTAATTGTGACGCAAATGCTACTGTGCCCTTTGCTCTAAACAAACACAGGTAAAGCCTTCTCAGTTGCTTTTTTTTTCTTTTTTTTTTTTCTTTTTTTTTTGTTGGGGGGGGGTAGGGGGGTAAGCCACCCAAAACCCAGCACACTGCAGTCAAATGTTTGGCCCAAAAATATCCCTTATGCTGTCATTTGTGTTTCCACCACTCTGAACGGTGGGTGGAAAAGTACAGGGCTGCCTCGAATGTGTGGCAAGTGCTGCAGATGTAGGGACTGGTGTCCTGCAGTGTTCAGTGTCCATCTGAGCTGCAACTAAGTGTCCCTGTGCCCTTTCTGCAGGTGACGATGTTGGGTTTTGC